TTGTCATTCACTACTGTATTTCAGGACAATTTCCGCCTGATTTGTGTCTGCTCCATGAAACATGCATAACAGATGCATGTCACATGAAACTCAATGCATGCACATGTCATTAAAATTCCTGCTGAGCAGAGCTGCTTCTGTGATTCCATAGCTATAACAGCAGCTTGCTGCATCACCCTTTGCAGACAAGAAGACAAGCTGAAAAGGGGAGGGAGGGTGATTTCTGGCATTTTCTGTGCAGCAAAAGGGAAAATCATATTTATCAGCTAAGAGTTCAATGATGTGACTCAAGGTTTTTGAAGTGAGACATGCAACCATACTAAACCTGTTGGATTTCTGCCCATTAATCATTTAAAGGAGATAGCCTAAAGACCAAATTCTTCTCTCATTATGTCGGCTTAAATAGGTAGCAACTCCCTTGACTTCTGTGGCTTTACTCCAGAGTGCTAAACATTATTTTGCACTGTTTTCTATCAATTAACCCTAGATCTGGGAATATGGTCCATAAGTGATGGCTCTGGAAAGCATCCTCTGGTAAAAATGAGTGATGTACACTTTGCAGATACACTGATTAGATGATGAGGCACTGAACCAGGAACCTCCAGAGCTTGAGCTGAAGAGCCATGTCCTCTGTCGATCAGGCACGCAGAGGGGAACACATAACTGTGAGAGATGTGGCACTGCTCTGGAACAAGTTCCGACTGCTGTATGTTGACCTGATTACTGGGATGTTTACTGCATGAATATATATGAATGGCTCAAGATAATCCACCCCATCATAAACACTTGAGGGGAAAAAGTCAGGAATATTTGAAAATTTTACCTTCTCCTCCCCTGCCAATCATAATGGCCGAAGCCTGGGAACACAGAACAAAGGAACTCTGGCAATCTAAAAAAGGTCTCTCCCTCTCCAGAAAGAGGTGTTTATCTGGGGGGAACCAGACCGATGGGCAGGCACGTGCTGGAGTGTCTGAAGAAGCCTGCCCAAGTTACCACTGGGGGAAGGTAAGCCTTTAGGTAAGATAGACATGGATGGAGGCTGTTTTTGATTTAAAATCTTTTTTAACTTCTTATGCTTTGCTCCTACTGCAAAACAAACAATACTTTGTTTTAAGAAGGCTGTTTTGTCACTGGATACAGACTCCTGAAGGAAAGAAATGCAGGACCAGAACTCAGTCCGACCTGTACTGGGTAAGCATGATTGTTACCCAGGGTGCTGGTGCTCAGGGCCCCGTCTAAGAGTAGGAGAATTGCAGAATTTTGCCCCGGGAGAGGTAAATGCACAAAGCTGAACCTGAAAAGATGAAGTCAGCAAGACCAGGTAGGTGACAGAAGTGCCTCTAGCTCTGTAACCACAACAATAACACACATCTTACCAGCGGGTTACATATTTTCTTCTGGACAAAGGAAGCTCATCCCAAGCATCTGAGATGCAATTTGAATCCTAGTCAACCCCCATATATGTGATGACTACCTCTTGGTCAACAGCATGGACTGAATAAGTGACCTCTAGATCAGAAAGCACAAATCTTTGCAACTTGAACAAAAGAGCTAGTCTCTGTAGCTGGGAGCTGTATTAGACTCACATCCTCTGTAGATGGAGACAAAGAACACACACTTATAAAGTGGACTACACAGAGCTATTTCTGACACAAAATATAGCAGGATACATCATCCCTGTCATATATTATATTGAGGTCAGGGACATAATTTCGAAATACGGCAAGTGAGAAATTCCCTAATATATTCTCTTCCCTCTCTTTTTACTTACTCACACATTACTCTCCCTAGCTTTTCTCACCCTTTCCAATGTTCATTTCCACTCGACATCCCCATTTCCTGCCTGTTTTCCCAAGAGCCTTACAAGGTGGGTCACAGGTATGTAACCTCCAATTTCTGGTGCACTTCTTGACACCATGAGTCCCAATAGACACTTTTATGCACAAAATGGGGGCATTAGAGCCAAACTTTGCAAGCTGCTTTGGGATCCTTTAAAGTGAAAGGAGCTATATCCACGTAAAATATTATTAGATGAACCTAGAAAACCTCTTCTAACCCCTGCAGGGAACGAGGGAGTCACTGAACATTGCACTTCCTGTGTATGAATTTGGACATTGTGAATATTCTGCTGGATAAGACAAGCTCATCCAGTGACTCACATAACAGGAAAAGAATGTCTCATTCTACAACAGGAAAATGTTATTACTTTGCAAATGTAGAGGCGCTGACATGAAAAGTGTTATCCACCCCTTAATCCTCATTAAAGCCTTGGGAACTAGGTCAGTATTAGTTAATTATCCCATTTTACAGACAGATGAAATAAGGCACAAAGAGCATAAGTGATTTGCACAAGGTCATGTAGCGGGGCAGTAGAAGAGTCCTGAATGAAATCTAGAAGTCTTGATTTGTGTGCTGATCATTGGATCACACTGGTCATCAGCTGAGCTCTGTTAAAATAATGCAGAGCAATGCGGTGCATACAGCACATGTTGGCAGAATGGCATTGTGGGAGGCAGAGAATCTGCTCACTCCATAGACTCCCTGCCAATCTACTGAGAGAAATTTGAACAACTGAATTACAAACCACATCAAAGAAGATTTTTTTTTTTGGAAAGATGATACTTTAAGCTGTTGACATTAGAATTCTTCTGTTGTCCTAGCTACTGCCTCTTGAAGAGGAGGAGTAACTACATTGACAGAAAACCACCTTCTGTCAATGTACACTACAGTGGTGTAACTGTGCCAGTGTAGACATGGCCTAAGTACTACGCATCATATTCACTCACACAAGTAGTGTATACTCTGCATTATATCTACTGTATTGGTATTGTGATAGCCAACTTTACACCACAGCTTATACTAATTGCAGCCTCATAAATGAGAGATGTGACATAACATAATAAATTACATTCAACTTTCATCGCCATATAATAAAGATGAGATTGTTAAAAAGGTAATGGGTGGTGTAGGTTGTTATATAGTTAGTTTTCTCCTCTGTTTGTGTTCTGACTCTTATACCTTTACAGCACGGTCAATAACATGTTCATTTCACACCAAATGATCTGCCCTGAGACAAGTCCACTCACTCTGCAGCATGTTTCATAGCTGCATTTCCAACCCACTGCAACAATTACCTCCACTTCTCTGGATGGGTGTTTTTCTCTTTCAGTCTTAAAGAGGAGTGTGCAATGTTCCACATAGAGCAGCTGTATTCCGAGTGATGTATTCAATATGCAGAACTGTCTATAGACAGAAGTCTGATGTATTGATATAAACACCTGTGGTTGGGCAGAATATATGATTTCTGTGCCCGACTTTTCATTGTGCAGATAGTTATGACCCTGAATTTCAGAGAGCTGAACACCTGTAATGCCAATGAATGTCAATAGGCACTCAGCAGCTTTGAAAGAAAATCAAATCTTGGATGGGCTGAAGAGAAACTTGTCCCAACACGATGAGATAGGCGCAGTTTCCAAGCGAGTGAGCTTTCTTTGAAGGTGCTCACATAGGAGAGAGGGCAACACCAAATTAGATTAAATTAAAATGAAATGGGGAAACGTTCAGAGAATATAACACTGTTGTAGAAGATGAACATGTGTGATGGGGTCTCCATCATTAGAGCCTAGGATTCATTCCTAAATTTCCCTAGTGGTTTATTGTCACTTGTATTGAATCAGATCTCCATAGGCACAGTACAAACACATAAAGACATGAACCCCACCCTGACAGACCTACAGCTTAAGGAGACAACTGCCATATGAAGGGCGCGAGGAGAGGGATACAAGAAATAATACATACACACTTGCAGTTGCTTTATTATAATTTGATATGGTAAGTGCAGCAGAGGTGGGTATTGTGGAGCGATAGGAAGAACAGGTTACTGGACCTTCTAAATCAGTTCAAGAAGGGTACTTCTTATTTAAGGAGTCCTACGAAAGACAGTACACAGACGTGTGTGAGACAGTGGCAAATGGGTGTAGCAGGGTGTTACGGTTGGTTGAGCAAACGCAATGGGGACAACACAATCAGAGATAAGCATAGGTGTTGGAACTAGAAGTGCTCAGAGTGCTGCCACACCCCTGGCTTGAAGTGGTTTCTATCAGATACAGGATTTACAGTTTGGTTCAATGGCTCTCAGAACCCCCACTATACAAATTGTTCCAGCACCCCTGGAGATAAGAGCAGACAAGTAGGGAGGGGCAGAATAGTAAAGGGCCTGCAAGACGAGGATAAGAAGTTTGAACTTGATGCAGTGAAATGGGGAGAGCTTTGGAGGATCTAGGGCTCAGTCCTGCAAGGTGCTGAGCACTCAGTAATCCTTTCTTCCATCCATTTCAGCATAAGGTGGCATGTCAGAGGTGGGGAGGAGTGTGGTGGAGTGCAGCTTTGCTATGTCAGATCCTCTACTGGGGACCACAGCTGGCTCCCTGGTGGCATTCACCCCACTCCACTGCATCCAGGTTCTACTCAGACGCAATGGACAATCTGGCCCTACATTTGTATGGTTGCCTTTAGGTGGAAATTGATCTGTCACGCTGTTTTTCTTTCTGCATCAGTGACAGATACTAATGCATTAGTGATGAATAGCATTAATCTTCCCTAGAAGATGAAGAGAGAAGGTGGGCAAGGTAATATATTTTATGGGACCAACTTCTGAACAGAGTTAGTACAATAAAAGGTATTACCTCCCACACCTTGTCGCTGTACTATCCTGGGACCAAAATGGCTACAACCCTGCAAAACAATTTATTTCCCCTGGTTTTGGATAAATCTTTCGACATTATACCACCCACTAAATTCAGAGTTAGACTGTGATCACATTAACAATACAGAGGGCTATAAAGAAATGTTACCCATTTTGAGTCAGATCCTCAGGCAGGCTGAGCCAGAGTTAAATGCACTTAAGAGGGAGGACAAAGGTGGCTTTTTGCCACCTTTCCACTCTTCTTATCCCTGTAGCTACCATGGACTGGTTCAGAGTCAGGTTGTAATGGGCCCCTATGGGTCATTATGCTGGTGGAGACATCCAAGGGAACATCATGCTTGGCCTTGCCTTTGCTCCTCCTCCCAATGCTGAGGTGGGGGATGTGATGAGTTGGATCACAGAAACCCCCTTGGGAGCTGCCACCTGGTGTGCCAAGACTACTTCTATCCCTGTTTTCCCTGCCAGCTCAGGACTCCAGCACCTTCTCTTGCTGAGCCAGACACTCCCGTCTGCTCCAACACACACCCAGGGTCTGAATTACTTGCACCAAAGCTGCAGGTTTACCTGAAAACAGCTCACAGAAATGTGCTTGTCTTTAGCACTATGCCCAACTCCCAATGGGGTCTAAACCCAAATGAATCAGTTTTACCCTGTATAAAGCTTATGCAGAGTAAACGCATAAATTGTTTGCCCTCTATAACACTGATAGAGAGATATGCACAGTTGTTTGCTCCCCCAGGTATTAATACATACTTTGAGTTAATTAATAAGTAAAAAGTGATTTTATTAAATA